ACTGAATGTTTGTAGGATTTATGTGGAATGATCATTGTAACCAGCAAATGAACTGATTAGATTTTGAGCAAGGCCAAGGTCACAGCAAGGTCAAATATCTGAAATAGTTTTCCTTCAATAGATTCCTTTCCGTTTGTCATACAGAGATGTTACTTACACATTCATATTCAGGAACTCAAGGCCCATTTTCTGGTCATGTACAATTTCTGACCTTGGTCCGTCTGTGCATTCCAAGATTCTTGTTAGCATGATATCTCGAGAACGAGTGGTTGGATGTTTGTATGATTTATATGGGGTTATCACAGTAACCAGCAGGCGAACTGATTATATTTTGGAATTGATTCAAGGTCACAGCAAGGCCAAATGGCTGAAATAGTTTTTCTTCAATAGATTCCTTCCTGTTTCTTCATGAAGGGTATTTTAAGGGTATTTCTAGCAGACAACAAAAAGGACTAGACTTGTTGGTGGTAGAGGCATGCCCCTGAGCTCTACTTTCAGCCACAGCAACATCTCACAGGTTTTCCCACACCACCGCACAACTTAAACATAAACCACTGCAATAATGATGAACTCTGAACATGTTAGCTAGTTGACTAACATTAAATCTTTTTATCTACTGCGTCTACTGTGTTTAATCCCAAGCTTCCCAGACAAACATCTTAACTGCTTGACCACTGTAGTAGTATTTTATCCTGAATACACTTGTCATTTGAGGCAAATCTGTGCAAGAAACTAAAAATGATAGATAAGACAGACTGTAAAACTAAGGCAAGGGTAAGGTATAGAAAGCATAAAAAGTATACTAAAATAATACAAAAAAAGACTAAGATTCAAAAATGGGTAAAGTTCAATCAAATGCAGATTTCATAAAAAGACACAGCAGTGTTAATTAACAGAATAAAAATATTAAAGACAATATTAGTGTGTTTAGTGGTGTGTTATATATTTCTTATTATTTTGAGTTTAATTTTGTTTATATTTATTTCAGTTTTAATCTTTTGAATAGTAACGAGGTGCAGTTTTGTATATCAAGATTTATAATGTAAAAGCATGCAAGCTTTTAATGAACTGTGTGTGTGTGTGTGTGTGTGTCAAAAGCAGTTTTCTTTTGATGTAAAACTATAAAATGTAAAAAAAACTGTTAAAAACAACATGGCTGAAAAAAATGGGTGTATATAAATAAATAATTATAATTCCAGTATTCAGTATATGTTATCAGTCCTGACACTGAGCAGCTCTGTATCAAATGTGATACTTCCTCAGCGCACACACACTAACACACACTCACACACACTTCCCTTTCTGTGAGGAAAGAGTGAACTCATTATCTAACCTGGCAGTGTGGATGACTGATATAGAGTGCACTCCAGCGCTCGCTCTGTCCTAATGTGACCTGCTCTAGTTTAGCTCTGACCCGTCTATACATCAGAGCTGTGTTTCCCAATCTGAGTCCTGGGCCACAAATCCGAGCGAGTGAGTGAGTGAGTGAAAAGTTATTTCAAATATATTCAGTGCCTTCCTTGCTTATTCCCATTGAATCCAAGTAAGGATTTGGGGCACTTTGTTTCTGCTACGTGGCATTTTATTTCTTTCACCATCTGGAGCAACTTCCAGGTTTCAAAATAGCACACATGATTAATAACGAATCCTGCGCACGAGTACGTTTTTGAGACCATTTATGAATTTTTTATGACTCTTGGTACGACTGTGTCCCTTTTTGCAAACTTAGGTTCCCTAACAGCTTTCCTAACCTCTGCTGAGGGAGAGAAATTAGAAGAAGGTTCTTTAAGAAGATACGCAATTACATAAGCCCTGAATTTGAGGAGTACACAACATACAGGGGGTGAAGAGAAGAGAAATTCCACTAGTGGCCAAATTTGTGTAGTCTTAGGGGGAAGAAAATGAAAAGAATTTTATTTGCCAGGTGTTATCCCTATTGTCATCTGTTCTTTTTGATTGCATGTTGTTATTTGCTGTTTAAAATGAATCATTTTTTGATTAACCATGTTTTTCGATTTGCTTTTGATATTAATTTTGGCAATAGTACAACCTACCATTCAAGCCAATAAAGCATGAACTGTGAGCACATGAGAGAAGTGTGAAAGAGTGAGATGGAGAGAGAGCATGAAGTCGAGTGAGAGAATGCGAGGAAGAGAGCGTGCACTAGAGAAGGAGCGAGAGATTATGTGTGTGTGTGTGAGAGAGAGAGCGAGAGAGAGAGAGAGAGAGAGAGAGTGGGAGCGGTAAAACAGGCTAGGTTATTACTCACTTAGCACTGGCTGATGTTACATATCCGATGCAAATGAAGATGGAGGCACGTCATGAAACAAAAGCTCGTGCTGTAATAAAAGGAAAGATTGGACTAAACTATTGAAATCCATGTTCTGTCCTCATTTTAATGGAGAATAACAAAGCCAGCACCTGGTAGGTCATTCTTTTATTGAATGTAACTACTTTTTTCAGGCATTATAGACAGTATTCCCTGACTGAGCATTAGTTCTGTGCATTAGTTTAAAGGAAGGAATGAAATGTATCTATTACTCATGTGTAATGTGGAATAAGTGTATGTATTTTGAAAGGAAATGGATCACTCGCTGTAGCTGTCAATTTTTATGGTCATCCGTATCTCACTCATACACACTTGCACAGCGAGACATAATATTGATCGTGTTTCCAGGACTAACTGTGTACCGTAAAAGACAGTTCAGAGCTCTGGACATTATGTAAAGTGCAAACAGTGAGACAATGCATATGTCCTTTTGAACTAGTACCTGGGGAGCTCATCATTTCTTCTCAGGGAGTTTTTCTTTTGCCATTCGCTCCTGTCTTGCTGATTAGAGATGTGATGTTCTGTAGGGCTGCTTTGTGACATTGTCCATTGTTAAAAGTGCTATATATGTTAATCTCCTACAATTTACATTTTCAAACCCCCTCTGGTGAAATTGCTCCAACTCAGACAGTGCTAAAAAAAAGTTAACTGCTACGTTTTTGATTGCTGCTTGTGCCAGAAACGGACAGAAAACTAATCAGTGACTGTTAAGGTCGCTTACGGTAGGACTTTCCAGGTCAAGTCCCTAAACAGGCTAATCTCTTTCTCTTTGTCTCTCACTTACTTTCTCTAACTCTTTCTCTCACTATTCGATCAGGTAATAATTCATCAGTCTCGTGCTGCTTGTATCTGCTTTGTTCACCTTTCATGTATTATTGAACTCACTCAAAAGCCAGAGTTGAATAATAGATGTTTGGAGCGAGTCATGCCACGACTTATTCAGCTCCGCAGGTCTTTCCCCTCCTCCTATTTTTGTTTGGCTCGCATTAAAATTTCACCGGGTTGTTCTTTTGTTTCACTGTTGTTGTGGAACAGTCAGAGATTTATCTGAAACCTCAGTGTGGATTTCAAAAATGAATGAAGTGCCGAAATGACCACCCGCTATGCCAGCTCACTTCACATCCACACTTCATTACGATGCACATAGTCAATAACTTTACGTAGGGCTGATACTTTCTCAGAAAAGTGTACAATCTGAGCATTGTATGATTATTTCTCATATGTTGCGTCTAAATTTGACCCTTATTCCGCATAAAGTGCACTGTTTAAGGTGCAGCCATTTTTCTTGTTGACCAAATTTGCAGTGGACAAATGATATTTAATGATATTTGTCTATATTATTATCTTTGGGGTGCTATAAATGCAGTGTACAGCCAGTGCACACCACATCTGCACCACAATGCATAGCTTCTTTCAGCTTGAAATTCACATGGCAGAGTGGACGTCAGAGCGCCCTGCTTTGCATTTTATTTCGGGCAAGTTGTAGCATGAGGATCAGAATGCAGTCCCAGATGATAGAATTGCAATTACTTTTTCAAAATAGCAAAATCATACCAGTTCTACACTGAAAATAAAATGTCAGAGGAATTTCACGTTTGCAGCAAATGCTTCTCAATTGAATTTGAAATACAGTTGTATATACATGTTTAAATTAGCATTTTTTAAAAATTACTATTTGAATTTCACTTCTACAAAAATTCCACAAAATTCTTTCTTTCTTTCTTTCTTCTTATTGTTATTACCCATCAGTCCTTACACTCCCGTTTTTCCTCTCTTCCCTGACCTACATTATGTTGATTTGTCCTACATTATACTTTCATTATTTCTTTTCTGTGTTGATTGAAACTGAGCTGAATTTTCTGACCTCATCATAAGTTTATTATTGTAAAAGAGAAGTGTTCATAATGAGATAAAGAACGAAAGTAAACGATGAGCAACAATCAGCTGCACAGCCTCTTATCATCTCATCACCTTTCTTTCTCTCTGATCAACTTAATAGCTATTCTCTAGTTTTCCAATATGTCTAATTATAGATAGGGTTGAATATTTAAAACCATTTTCTCTTCCTCATTCTCTCTCTCTCTCTCTCTCTCTCTCTCTCTCTCTCTCTCTCTCTCTCTCTCTTTCTGATCTCAATACACTCTTCAGAGCTTAATTAGGATCAAATCAATCATGTATGGACAATGTATCCAATTAGGAGCAGCTCTTCTGGTGCAGCATACTTATTCTCAGCGGGTGTTGTTATCTGTTATTAAGCCTCTTTTTTTTTCTTGTGTTGGTCTTCACAGAGCACAGAGCCAACATTCTGCTGTAATCACACATCCTCTCTGTGCAAGGTGGGAGCAACTGATAGACCACGACCAAAAAAAAAATGCAAAAAAGAGCACGCTGTTTAAGCATAGTGTAGCCAAATGTCATCCACTCCAACAAGCAATTGGTGATTTACACTTATTTTTATTCAACAAAGTGAATGATTTACTTCACTACTTGATTTTTTTGTCATGTGTGAGTACATTATTAACCAACACTTTCTGTAAATCATAAGCTAAGAGTTTTTTTGAATTAGTTTTTTTTTTTTTTCCTGGTATTTGTTTTGTAAAGCCTGTAGGGTGCCCCAAATTTGGCCGCAACAAAACCATACCATCTTACACATGTCTAATGTTACGCATGGGGCAGTCGTGGCCTAATGGTTAGAGGCTCGGACTCGTAACCCGGAACCTGAAGGTCGTGGGTTCGAGTCTCAGGTCTGGCAGGGATTGTAGGTGGGGGAAGTGAATGACCACCGCTCTTCTTCACCCTCAATACCACGACTGAGGTGAGACCCTTGAGCAAGGCACCGAACCCCCAACTGCTCCCCGGGCAGTGTTTGTTTACGGTGTGTGTGTGTTCACTACTGTGTGTCTGGGTTAAATGCAGAGCACAAATTCCAAGTATGGGTCACCATACTTGGCCACAAGTCACTTCACTATCACTATCACTAATGCCTCGATAAACTGTGACTGCAAATTGTGTTTTCACTGAATGAAAAGTGGTAGTAAATGGAGTTTGGTGTGTTTTCTGTGGGTTCCACCAGTTGTTCAACGTAATAATGTTATGTTAAAATAATGGAGAGATTTTCAAGCCTGAATGTCAGGCTTTTGCTACTCCAAAGCAAAGCTCTGTCATGATTTTGAAATCATGCTTCTTGACACACTGAGGTTTGGATATACATTTATTAAAATACTACAGCTGAAATATTTTACATTCAAGTAAACCTTCCAACAACCAACTGGCATTGAGTCATCTAGATGGAAAATGGCCAGCTCTTTGGATCTCCCACCAATCAGACTCGTATGGGATGAACTTTACCCGTCAGTAACAAAAGCATGTCTCATCAATCACTTGACTATTCACTTGAATCGAATGCGTTTAATCCAAACCTCAATAACTCAAAAACAAGTAGCCTATAAATAATATCCACATGGGTCTAATGTGTTCTGCTGGTGGACAATTCAAAAATTAAGGCTCCAGTAAATAAGCAAAAAACTATTGCCTACCTTTAAATAGTTTTCATGAAATAAAGGTGTGCTAAGGGAAATTTTTTATAGTTAAAAGGGTCCATGGCTAAAAAACGTATGAGATAGCCTGATATAGTATTTGAATTGGTTTGAAAAGAAATGTTTGGGTACCTTAAGTATCTTAATAAACAAATTTGTCTCTGTTATGTCTATAGTTTCATGTGTGTATGTATGTGTATGTGTGTGTGTGTGTATATATATATTTTGCTTGTCTAATTAGTCTAACAAGGTTTCAGATCCTACTGCAAATCTAAACAGGACCAGTTTTTTTTGTTGTTGTTTTTTTTTGCACCACCACTTTATCGTCATGAAACGATCTGGCTTTAACTACAACAGTTCATGGAAAATTATGGCTAGGTGTTATAAATAAACTTGCCCTTTATATAGGGCTGATTTTTTTTTAACTTTATTGCTTTTCTGCTTTTCCAGCATGAACTTGGCTGTAGCGCTTATGCCAGTATAAGTGATGCTACATCTCTATCCATGCTTTCCATAACCCTAATGTTAGGTTTACAGGTGCCATTACCCGTGCTTATGAATAAATACAATGCCAGGCTTTTCTCTAATGCAGAATGATTTTGTTTCAGCCTCTTTATGATGTATGGTGTCTGTTAACAGCATTTTAGATAGTGGTCACATATCAGTCTGTTTTAAAAGCACCACTGATGGCATGAGGACTTGGACTATCTTTCCTGGCCAATCTACCTGTCAGACCTGTGAGCGAGTTGCTTTGTCACTGAGTCGTACCCTGAATAATAAGCATGGAGAGTAGTGAAGAAGGCCGTAAATCACAGACAATTCAGCTTTCATGTGTGGAAAAGTGATTCCGGCTGAACCCAGCAGGCTATCTGTGTGAAATCTAACGAGCTGCCATGCTCTGATATGCACACCTCACCATTTTTTTCTGATGACTCAAGCATCTCTCTTGTGGGAACCCAGAGACCTGTTTTTGTTGTCTTTTGTGCGTGTTTTTTTTTTTTTTCCCTCGCTTCAGCCCAGCTTTTCTCCTGCATTAATCAGAAGCCGATGGCTGCCTAGGAAGATGAAATGGCTAGAGTAGAACTCTGGAGAGACTCTAATACACTGACGCCTGCTGCAGCAGTGAATTAAAAACCAGTTCAGTGCTCGTTCTTTACACCTGATCGCTCCGAAGGGTTTTCTAGGGCATTTTGCAGGTGATTTTCAAGCATGCCTGGATTATTTGGAATTTGATGTGAAGTGCTAAGGTGGTGATGTGGTGCAAGGTTATAGAGGGGATTTTTTTTTAGTTGACTGCATATCCAATACTTAATACCATTTTAATACTTTCTGTACCACTTTGGTAATGTGATACGATTTTAATAAAAGAAAAAAAATATATATTATTTTTAAGCTAAACCTTGTTCTAACAGTTTTTTTGGAAGATTAGATTAACAGACAGACAAATATGGATGGATAGACTTGTGTGAATGATGCTTAGCACAGGTTATCATACAGTTGTCATACATATGATATAGTGAAATGTGTTGGAAAAACAACTCTGTGAAATCAAGACAAACTTTACAGGAGATCCCAAACTAATGTTGACATTACCTTTGGCTTGTGTTGGGACTTTTAAAACTCAAAATCAAGATTTAACTCACCAAGTGCTGTCAGTGCTGTCAGTGCATTAACTAAAATGCATTAACCAAAGACAATAAGTTAGCTAGTGAATAGCTCCATTAAAATAAAGCACTAAATATAGCGACCTGCCTAGCGTTACACTAAGAGGTTGTCAATAGAGCATTGTTAGTTTGCTTTTTAGTATCATCACTCTTTAAAATTAACTATTTAATAATGTAATAAATAGGTTAGTGTTGGGCATCATTGCAGTAGCTAAAATACATTAACATTACATACATTAACCTTGATAGCAAGCTAACACAGCACTGTAACTTGGATGAGATCATCATTTTCTTCCGTTTGGAGTACCACACCGGAACCATGGATGACGTTTGGGGACACCTTCACTGTGTCCCCAAGTATACTGACCACCAACGAATTACCCAAACAACCCCACCCCTTTCATTATCACCCAAACCACAACTCTACTGCCCCCTGTTTCTCACACAGAGGAAAACACTGTTGCTGGTCACCGTAGTGGAACTTTTGGCACTAGAAAACTGGTGTATTATTCCATTGGCAGCTGGTCCAGTAAGAAAGGTTCCAGTGGATGGGTTTTTGTTATCTTCTCATGACTGGCACCAACAGGAATAGATGGTACTCAGGGGTGGAGCTAGAACCACTGTATGTTAAGCATACTGTGTTACAGAATTGGATTTTTTTTTTTTAGTCTGAAAATTAAGAAATTGAAGCAGTGGAATAACGAGGAGGCACAGACACTATTTGTGTGCGGTCGTTACAAGCTAGTTTACCAAGCTGCTAATCAGACAAAGGAACAAATGCTGTGTCCATGCTGAGACAATGTCATTGCAGCCTCTTTTATTTTTGTCATTATGTTCCAGTTATAGGAGTCCTCATTTAGGACAGTTCTTATTGTTGGTGCATAAACTTAAGCATTTTATCACCGCACATTCAGCTACCACGTTTTGTGCGTGTGTCTGTAAATAAGACATAGTCTGGCGTTTTCTGATTTGCACCTCAGCAGTACTTCAGGCACTTTTAGACATTTCCAAAACAGCTGGCTTCACTATTGACTCGTCTAGCAGTTTAGATCGAAATTGAATTCTAGCTCTCATTTAATTTGTCCTCTAGCGACCGTGCTGGAGCGCGTCACTGCAAAAGTGGCACAAATGCACACTCAAGTGCGTCGATAGCCAGAGCACGCTGCAGATATGACAGCTTAGCCTTCGCCAACCCCCCTAGAGCTGCCAAAAATGATAAATTACCCCTCAGCCCTCTCAGTAGTTGGCTCAGGGGCAATCCAAGCTATTTGTTCCATCCAGATATCCTGTTGGTAAACACAACAGCAGTGGTGTGTGTGTGCGTGTGTGCGTGTTTGTGTGTGTGTGTGTGCGTGTGTGTGCGCGTGTGGGTGGGTGTTTAAGTCACGAGACTGTGTGCATCTGTGCCACGGGTGGGTGGGTATAAGTATGGGTCAATGGGTGAGCAATTGAGCATGTTAATGTGTTGTGTGTGCCTGAGTGTGCGTGTATGTGTGTGTGTGTGTGTGTGTGTGTGAAAGGCTCATGTAATATATCGCCTGAGGTGTTCCATTTAATTTGCTCATCATGGTCCTGTCTGTTACAGTTCTGTGGCCAGCCGGTCACACTGTCCCCAGTGGAAAATGTCTCTCTGTTGATGGTCAGAGCTCAGCAGTCAGTGCACATGGTTATGGCTCTATAGGTTATGGGTTTGATTGCAGGTAATAGCTGCTGTCTTTGTGCCCTCAGGCAAGGCTTTAACACCGCATGGCTTCTCTACAGATTGCTCTGCGTTCAGTTAGTGTCTCTTGCCGCAAGCCAAATTGGTGCCCAAATGAAAGCTGGTTAATTTGTGTTGCTTCAAGCCAAAGTCTCATGAGATTATAAACTAATGCTTCATTGCTCTGTGAATTGCAAAATAGTTATTTCTATGTTATTGTTCATATATTTATGAAATTCAGTTTAGTTTTATTTTTTTTAAAAATATTTTACAGCCAATTTTCAAGCATGTCTACATTATTTGGAAAATGAAGTTATGTTGATGTGTTGCAAGATGATAGAGCCAGTGATGTTATTATTATTAATATCGTAATAAATTATGTCACAATACACTTTTCTGGGATACTTTAGATGTCGTCATTATTTTTATAACAAACTCTGATGGGAAGTTAAGATTTTGTACTGAATCTTAGAATTAGCAAATGGTATGATTTTGCACAGATTTTTTTTTCAGTGTTAAATAATTATTAATAATTCATAAATAATGAACAATTTTTTAAAAGTAGAATTGAACACACAGTTTTGAAAAATGCAGCTCCACTGTTTTGCTGGCAGTTTGTTAGAAAGCCATATCATGCATCATAGAAACGATTTCGGATATCGTGATGATATTTTTTGTCATTTTGCCCACCCCTATTTGGGAATTTGGGATTTTTTTAAGGGCTTGAGTGATGAATTGTTCTAATTATTTTTATAAAATACTGAATTTTGAAAATTAAACTTTGGTCTCATTCTAATTGGTTGTTTGGTGGGTAATTTGAACTCATTTAAAGAGAGCAACTTTTTTTTTTAAT